TTAATACACTGTAACCTCGCTATAACGAACTTTTTTATAACGAACTTTCGGATATTTGCGTATCAAATATTATCAGAAATGTACCCAGCATTCTCCGATCACTCCCTGGAATAAAAGATACACACATCGAAGTATGGCAGGTCGTACAATTGATGCGTAGATATTTGTATGTCTGTACACGACTTGCAATACTAGTATTATACCACTGACTCATTGTATAGGTGTTACCATCCGGTGCTCGGTATGCGTCCGTTCCGTGCGTCATTATTGTCCTTGGAACTCATCACACTATGGAATATGTATTGGGAGATTATCTATGCAGTTATACAATACCCTTCTCTTACATCGACGCGTATCCGCCATGCATGACGTCAACGGTGCGCGATGGTTTTATGGTTCGTATTTCCATATGGACGTATCATCCTGGTAGCACTGTGGCGTCCGGTATCACGAGGGGAAACGTTTCCGAGACTTAACTACATGTATATGATAGTCCGATAAATGATATAACATATGAGTGTCCGACATATTCATTGACACAGTAAAAACATGCTAGTGACGGTGATGAAAGGAATGACGAGAGACAACATGTATTGTATCTTTGACAGTAGCACATGCTGTCATACATAAAATATATACGCGAGGAACAGAGACTACGCGCGTAGAACAGACAAACGTATGTGCAAGTAACGCAAATGGAGGATGAATATATCTAGAAATCTAGAAAAAAAAGCCCGTGGCTACGAATGCGCGAAAAAGTCAATGAAAAGTATAGACGAATCAAGACAATTTTACTTTGTGTTTTATCACTTCTATATAACAATCTCGACAGATTATATATATTTTCAAAAAACGCAAATGGGACGCAATTCTGGTGGCGCACTTGAAAAGAAGCGAAATTTTCGTGGCACTGGACCATGAAGCGTGTAGAGGCTTTTTCAAAACCCTGTTCGGAAGCTTAGGTACCAACGTTTTGTGAGCCTAGTGACCTCTACACCCAGGACTGAAATATAACCGACTACAAGCTCCCTATCACACAACTCTTCTCCATTTTTGCTAACACGTTTAGTACGTGTTTATCCTGTTCAATTTAATCGATTTGTATAATTTATGCGACGTAAAACATTTGCGATAGATAGATCTAACATGACGTCTTTACATAGATCACGCGGTTATTTTCCAATGGACAATAATATCAGAAGTACCAGGCATTCATATGACGCACACTAAAAACACAATTACAGAGGTGTTTTAGTTTTTAGATTACATATAATGTCAGATATACT